TCCCCCCCCCCCCCTCTTTAAAAAAAAACCAAACACAAAATCATCGATAACCATACCCCGACTCCCCGCCCTCTCCACTAACGTCAGAATTATTGTTATATTGATATATAATAGATTTATCAGTACGTAAAGGCCTAAACTAAAAATAAGAACATTTCGGGCGAAAGAGGGTGAATAAAAAAATAACCGAGAGGCCCTACTCAATAATTCTTTTTCGAGGCAATATAATTTTATTTTCGTAGCTCCTGGTATAACTTGTGTGCTGATATCGGGGTGAGATCTTTTGATAGCCGTTGAATGTGATCAAGCGGTAGGCCTACATAGGCTAGGCTACATGCAGATTACCAGGAGAGGGAGGGGGTCTTCTCTCAAGCCGTGTCGCACGGCAAACTGAAAAGCAGCCATTGATTTTTACACTGTCCAACCACAGGAGGAGAGGAACGCGCGGTCGTGGGAAGAGAAGAATTCAGAGTTATTTCCCTTCACAAATTATTGGAGGGCGCTTGCTTGTCGGCTGGGTTTGTAAAGCAGTTTTTTCTGCAGCGCAATGGATTTGAGCGTGTGCTTTTGGCTCGCCCAAACACTGATGTTCACTAGAGTATACGAATTCTAGATCACGGATAATGTAGCCTTTGTGACTGAGTGTTCATTCAAGGAAAATGGGTATTGTTTTGTCCCATACCATAGCGGCCAGTCTGTACTATTTTCGAAATGGACGGGCTCACTTGAGAAATGAACTAACACCACCGGAGCGAAACGGGCAGCACCCGCGCTCTGTGCAAAACCCAAACAAACTTGACCCCTTTGATAAGGATGAAGACTCCAGTGACAGTTCTTTGAGAGATGTACAGCTAGAGGCTATCAACTCTATAAATGTAAGTAAAGAGACGGATGCTAAGTACTGGAAACTCTTCTAGATCTAGAATCTAGTCCTAATCTAAACGTTTTTATGAGTTAGAGCTATTATTTGTTCGATCAATTTAAATTAATAGATCTAATGCATCGGCACCCGTGTGATAACTGGCTGTACTGTTACAAGTTACAGTTACTGTTGTTGTTCTAGACTAGATCTTATCTAGAATCTAGAATCTAATCTAGATCTGCACCCTAGATTAGATCTATATCTAGACTCTATATCTAGATCTAGATTTTAATCAAGAGTCTGGAATTCTAGATCTAATCTAGATGTAGATTCTAGACATAGATCTAGATCAAGACAGTGTGTGAAGAAAACGTGGTGATCTTGTCTTATACTTTAGCAGCATGATAAATTCTTCAATTGAGGACTTCCGAAACGAGCGACCATAATTAGATCTGGATCTAAATTCTATATCATCAAGAATACACTCAATGGCTTCCAAAATCATGATGGAAGACCGAAAACCACTGTTTTACGATCTGTTCATGACAAAATTACGGTAGTTTGCGCATTTTTAGGCCCAGTTCAAAGTTTTGAAGGTCTGAGTCGGGGATTAGATCTAGACAGTCTAGAGTCTAGTAGACTAGATATAGACTCTATTAGATCTAGATCTAGATTCTAGATCTAGTAGACTTTGGGAATTTAACGTGCTAAAGTATAAGATCACCAAAAACGTAGCCATGACATTGAGTCTGTTCCGTTGATAATTTCCAGTTCAGGGGGTGCAGTTGATATTTTTGAAGGTAGCAACGGGAACACATTTCAAGACATGATTTTCGGCCTGTCCTAAGATTTTTAAAACATTACGCCCTACACCTGATCCTTGTAGTTGCAGATCTTCCTGTTCCAGCTAGAATCTAGACTTTAGTGCTAGTGATCTAGAGATCTAGATCTAATCTAGATATCTAGTTGATAGTCTGGAGATCTATAATTTTGACTTCGTCTCTTTCTGGCTTTGGCAGGGGATGGGAGGAGGGGCGCATGCTTCCCTAGCCTAGGTCTGTACTGTAGCGTTCATTATAAAGTCAGCTATGTAAGTGCTTACGTAAATTAACTGTTAAAGTTCTAACCGTGAATGTTCCTTTTCCCCTGAATTTAGATTTAGATCTGAAAATCTAGGCTTTATGTTGATGTTACAAAAAAACTCGAATCAAGATTCTAGTCTCGCCAACAGATTTAATTTCATCCAAGATTCAAGAGATTTGGATTGGGGAGGAATTCCATAAAACAAGCGACCACTCTACAGGCTACTATACAGAGTAGATTAACATTAGAGAGTTGGGGTAAGGATTAGGGTTTGGGGTAGGGGTAAGAATGACTATGGATTGGGTCAGGGTGAGGAGGTCTCTTCTTTATCTCTATTTGTTGGGGTGGTCACTCTTTACGGAAGTCCTTCCCTAGATTGTTTAGAGTGACCATGAAGTATTGTTTAGCGTAAATTTAAATTTAGATCATGTAGTAATATAATTACTACACCTCAGACTCGATCAACTCAATATGACAACGGGGTAGACCGCACTGAAAGGTTAAGTAGGGGCTGACAAGCCAAAACCTGGCAGTGCTAGAAGTAACAGACGATGCGAAGTATTAGTAAGTCTTTGCCAACAAAATGACGGCTAAATTGTTTGTTTTATTTCAATTAATATCCATTATCAAAGTGTTCAGATCTTTTCATTAATTTATATTATATATGTAATAAATTGCTCCATAAAAACTACTAATCACAGTGTCTTTGCACATGAAGTTCTTCAATCAATTTCAATCTTTGGAAACTGTTGTGTTGGTAAACCTTGATTTTAACAAAATTACGTTTTTATTTTCGGACAAATTTTCTGGTGATAAACATTATAGTAAGTTTAAACTTACTTCATTTTAATATATATATTTTAAATTTTAAGGTATATTTCACAAAATTTAGTTTGTTTAGAGATGACTGAGACTAAAATATTTTTGTAAATTTGGGGATTTGAAACTGGGGTTTATTGAAAGAGGCAGTGCTAGTAGGGTTGGGGGCTTGATGATTGGTGTCATGGGGGAAGGGTCAAGAGTCCCCTTAATTTTAAGCTCTGACACATTTACATTATTTCCTGCATTTGAAATATAATTTATATTATAGTGAAGTGTTGTACTCAAGTGCTGAGGCTGAAGTATTTATTTCTATTATTTTTTTTTGTTCAGCTCGCTATATATCTATTTTAAGTTGTTAAAAGAATCATGATATGATAAGATATTTATAATGCATCATTTTTTAGATTATTCCACTGCATTGATATTTTACATTATAATGCTCTCTCTGTGTTTCACATTGGGATCCATGCTATTTTTTAATGGCGTTGAGATAGGTTCCATTTTGTATAATATAATTTTGATGCTGCTTTGAAAATCTTTTGTTTTGACCTCAGCAACTGGTTTTTTTTTTTTTTTTTGGTGTGTTAAAATTGACTATGGCTGACTGTCAATAAAACTAATAAAATATACTTTGACAATCCCACTTCAAGAACAAGTTGAGCCAAATATTTTATTATGTGTTATGGAGAAAAATTCTCCCTTTATTATCTAATAAAACTGTCAGGACGCCGCTTTTTGCAATTATTATGAAAAACATTGGATCAAAGTGTCGGCTCATTTGTGTCACGACGAGGTAGAATCAGGCGCTCGTCAGTTTTTGGTCATCTGGAGTTAATGGTGTCATCTTAAAGACTGTTCGTTTAACCATCTTTTGATGAAAAAAATACACTTATCTTGAATAGAAGTCGAGATATTTTGCAAATTAAGGTGGTCTGGGTCGTCTGGTTTCAGAGGTAAAATTAGCGAGAAAATGGGCGCCAAAGTTTGGTGATTTCCAAAGCTTGGGTGCCCTTGGAAACTGAAAATTAACATTTATTGTGCTTCTAATCAATTTTTTTCAGTAAAATCCACACAGAAATATATTTTTAGATGGACATTTAAGATATGAGCCATAAGACCAAAATTTGGAAAAAAATTATCAAACTGAAGGAAAAATGTTGCAATATCTACTATTTCATTATTTTGACAAGCGCCTAATTTCACCAAATGCCTCACATATATACTACAGGACAAGACTGAAGTCTGAAAATGAGTTAAAAAAGGTCAAAAGTGAGTCATCACATGGTTTAAAAAAAAAGGAAATATATTAAAAGAAAAATGATAAAATAGCAACAAAGACCTTACAGAGGCCTTGACAGACACAACAGTTCATAAGTGACCACTACAGCTGTTACAAGTAGACTTCTTGAGGAAATCAATTTATCAATTATATAATATATGTGTGGAAAAGTACGGGTAGTATTTTTCTCTTCAATATACACGATAATAATCGCTATTGTATTTTATACAATAAAATATGTTCCCCCTTGGCCTTGTTACTGGCCGTATAGTGCGTCCAAATTTTAGCTTTCAATTGTCTACTTCATCAGAGGTTGTAGCCTACTTGTTGTACTACACTAATCAAAATGTTTATTCCGTCGTTGTGGTGTCAAAGAATTCTGCCTGATCAGTAATTTCCTGCTCAACTTTTGAAGGCAGTTGCTGCAGATTTTGCCAGTTGTAAAAAACACTTATTGCATTGTAGAGTTTTGATGGGAGTTTTTGCTTATGACTGAAAATAACACGCCATGAAATGTTCAAATGAATGTTTATTTTAAAATTTTTTGCTAATTTTTTGTGTGTGAAGTCAAATCAAATGACTTGCATATAAAGTACTTTTGAAGTGTTATTTTTTCCTCTGAATTGTTAAACTTTTAAAACTTTTTTCTTACTTATTAGAAAAGCTGAATATATGGTCGTAAAATACTAGACTAACCTTTCTATTATTGTAGCTCGGACTATGGACTGGGTATCATGTGTTTGTGAAGTTTACTGACTTTTGCTGTCATCTTAGAGGTCAGACAATAACAGCAAAAGAAAATGCATCACTCTCAAGCACTACCAAATCAAAATTAATTAGCTTGCAGCTTGAACTAAAGACTTGACTTGAAATATGAGCTTTAAAAAAGATGGTACCAGTTTAAATCCACAAATATTACTTTTTGTCTTATGACCTTTAAAAAATAAAAAAAATGTAACTTTTATTTCATACACTCTTGGCCTACCGACATGTACAAAAGATTTTCCCTGGTATGGACGTGGATGCAGGTTGAGTCAACCATCTACAGGTTGAAAGTTATTTGGATACTTAATTTAATTGAATTAAGTAGGGACCTACTGGTATAGTACCAGAATGATTAATGTGGGCTCTCACGTTCAATAATTACTCACATTTATTAATCTAGGTTTGACGTGCAGCTCCTGTGAAGGGGAAGAAAACAACAACAGACGAACGTATTTACCCCCCCCCCCCCCCATTCCTCATCCCCACCCTTCGAGAGAAAGGAAGTGGTTGTGTGTCGCCGTCCTCACTCCCGAGTCTCTATTCCATTTTTAATGAGTCGTTCAGTTGGAAAGATGACTATGAGAGAGAGAGAGAGAGAGAGAGAGAGAGAGAGAGAGAGAGAGAGAGAGAGAGAGAGAGAGAGAGAGAGAGAGAGAGAGAGAGAGAGATTACCCATCTAGACTAGATACAACGAAGTCGGCTGTTGACAACCCCCCCCCCCCCCTCTCCTCTCTGCCCCTTTCACCAGCAGCCCCGTGATATCGTGGCCGTATTGATCGCCTCTATCACTCCCTACCCCCGGGAGTTACTCAGATATTGCAGAGCTTTTCACCACGGTACAGCCTGTGTGTGTGTGTGTGTGTGTGTGTATTCACAACTGTACATTGAAATTGCCAGGGTTAAGGGTAGCGGTGGCTTAGTGTCCCAATGGCGTGAGCGCGCCACCTTTTAGTATCATCAATGGTTGTGTGTTAGACATGCCTGTGCTTCTTTTTTCCCCTCTTTCCCTCTTTTCTCGTGTTTTTGGTCTCCTCCTTTTTCTCTACATGTGGTCATATTTTCTC